GAGAAAACAAATGCCTCTTTTTACTTTATAACTCTCTAATATCCATTTTTGCACTCCGCTCATTTTATATTTTTAGTTGATTGAATTATTATTTTTTGGATCTTTGAAGATACTTCAAAACTCCTCCTCAAAAGATTTGATTTGTGGAATAGCAAACATTGACTACTGAGATGGAAAGTATGTGTGAGATGAATTTAGATGAAAGTGTAACTTACAACCATGGTCCTAACAACCTCCGAGTTGTTCGTCTCAAGCGTCATGATTTTCAAAATCATTTTCGTATTACTAATAACAGTTCATAGTGCAACAATTTGGAAGGAGCTAGCACAAGTCTCTTAATGACGGCTCTTAAAGAAGATGTTTTATGAACATCTAGGGGGATAACAACTCTTAAAGAAGATCTATTGTGGTTCTTTCATGATTGTAAAATGGATGCGAGTCTCGTATACCCTTTTTTTTTTGTTCATGAGATGTAGTTAGGCGCCCCTTATTTGTTGTACTTTGAATGAATAAACTAAATTCTACACCTAATGCCATGTTCTGATTTTTGAGTAGGGTGTTTGATAATAAAATGTTAATTTTTTTTTATAAAACAAAAAGGAAACACTTGTAACACATTGTAGGTTTCCATATTGAGTTCTTTATCAACAGATTCTGAATCTGACCAACTTAATATTGAATTGATCGTTGAAACTTAAGAGAAATGACAATACACCTTAGTTGTTTCTTATTGAATGGGGATTCTTTTATTATTATTATTATTATTATTATTATTATGTAAGCTAGGAAATATGAACCATTACTAAATGATGAGTGTTATGTTTTTCAAATTAGGTTAATCAAAAGTATTTATTGCTACTTTGGATTGCAAGCATATTTCTTGTAGATCAAACACAATTGAAATAACATCAGAATTAAAAATGTTGGGTCCGTGGTTAGCACGGGTAAAAACCATCTAGTATAACCATATGAGTGGAACGGAGTGAAATAATAGTGAAATAACATCAGAATTAAAAATGTTGGGCCCGTGGTTAGCACGGGTAAAAACCATCTAGTATAACCATATGAGTGGAACGGAGTGAAATAATAGGGGGTTCAAATTTGTTCTTGAACACAATGACTTTGCTATTGACCCCAGCAGAATTCTAGAGTTTATGATGCAACAATAAATGATATTAGAAGTAAGTGCTAATTTTAGTTTTTCTTATTGTTCTCACCTTGTTAACTCTATAAAGATATGACACCTGGGACTAACTCAACCCCAAAGGGTACCTCATGAGGGGAGGTTTGTTCAAATCCATATAAAGAGATCAAATTTCCATCCCTCTATCGATGTGGGACATTTTAACACACCCCCACATGCCCAGACCTCAACTGGAACGTGAACACTTCTAAATGGGGGCCCATCATCGGTGAACAACAAATTGGGATGGGTCTGTCTCTGATACCATGTAAAGATATGATACCTAGGCCTAACTCAACCCCAAAAGCTAGCTCATGAGGGGAGGTTTGTCCAAGTCCATATAAGGAGACCAAATTTTCATCCCTCTACCGATGTGGGACATCTTAACAAACTTGAACAAACAACCTTAAAATTAGAGGCAGAGAGTGCTTACTTATAGGAGCAACCCCCTCTTGTCGTGACTGTGATTCCGAAGGATTATAGGCAATTCTTGCAATGCATTTTGATCCAATCCATTATATAATTGTATGAAGGTGGGGTAATAAGTATGAAAAAAACTTGTCAAACTTGGGTCATCAAAAAAGAGATATTTAATATCTTTAGTGATGGTAGGGCAATAGTAGCAGGTATTATTTGCAATAATTTTGGGATCGAAAAGTAAATCTTCTCATTCGAATTTTTTCATGCTTAACAAGTCATAAAAAAACGTAATTACTTTTAATTGAGAACTGCACAAAGCGTATGAAAAACCAAACAACTAGGAATCGCTTGATTTGCAGATAAAGTTATTTCAAAATTATAGTCTTGAAATTATAATTTTTGGTAATTTATTACACCTCTCAAGTGAAACAAATAACATCAAATTTGAGGTATACATTTATCATGGAATTAATTATACCTTCAATCAAGCAAAATATAACTTTTATTTCAAATTAATCTTGAAATATTCAACTTTATCTCACAAACCAAACGACCAGCACACTATCTGTTAAAAAACTATAATTGTAACTTAAAACACAAACATGTGAAGGGCACATGCAATTTCAATCATTTGTTCATCATCATTAATTGGCCCTATATATGTTTAAACAACTAAACAGAAGGGACTGTTGATTTTCACGTGTGAATATACCTTTTTATGAATAAGTAGCTAATAACATGGATCTAACTTACTGGAACAAAGTGCGTACATTAATTAATATCTGTTCATAAAATAGACTTTCGTGGTTGAGAATTTCATCTTTCTTCTGATCAGTCGATCTCTTCAATAAAACTGTGATATTTTCCCTCAAACGTTTGATTTAAATGGTCATTAACATATATAATAGTCATATACAAATAAAAGCGAAAAAATAAAACGTAGTAGGACATTAAAATTAACGGTTACAATCCTATTTAGATAAGATATCGACCACAATCCTACACTTAGCTAGGTAGGATATATTAATATTTATCATTTACTCCGTTGTTCATTTAACATACTACCTAAGAATTGGATTCAATATTCCTCTAAGATGTGATGTTCGAATTCATACGGTACATTAGTTAATAGAGATGAAGTCAGAATTTGAAGTTTATGAGTTTGGAGGAACATACATATACAGAGAATATCATATGCCAAAATGTGAGAAGAAAATAATAACATCAAAGAGCACTAAAGATTAAAGCTTAGAAATCGATCTTCTTATATGAATTTATAGACAATTCTCTCCTCATGAGCTAACTTTTGGAATTGAGTTAGACCCAAAACTCATCTTTACCAAACACAAACATGTGGTTAGATATAGTCATAAATAAATGTATACAAAAGGATAGCAATATATAATTTCATTTTATCACGATCTAACATCAAAATAATCTAGTTCTACATATGGTTGATACGTTAATAGGGGGCAACATTTAAATTAAAGTGTTTGGTCACATGGTATGAAAAGGAGATAATACGGCCGACCTTATTAATGACTTACTTTTTTTCATGACTAGTAGTTTCTACTTTCTAGTCATCTTTCTATATATGATGAAAAATAATAATATCATAATCTGCTATTGACCTTTTAGCCAGATGTTTGGTTGTGTGGATCCCATTGAGAAATAATCACTAATTCAGTGAAAAATTGAAGTTATATGGTGGAAGTGATGTGTTTTTATTCACCTGCCATAACAACTCTATAACTAATAAAGTCTGATGAAATCTCAATTTTACGTAACGTTGAGCGTGCAGCTTTTTCTTTAAACAATTGACATTTGTTGCATTTATGAAAAATATACTTATATTACTTAATAAATATGAGAATTATGCACGTTATTACACCGTGAGGGTTTACCCCATGCGCACAAAGTGCTCACCACCTAAGAGACGAGCATCTTCTCTTAGGTTTCTTCCTCCCGCGTCCGTCGCCGTTCTGCCCGCGTTAGAGGGGAAGATTAGCAAACCGGGAAAAGAAAGAGGGAAGGGGAGTGTGTCTACCCGAAGGACAGAAGTTATAGGGGCTGCGGATTATTCTGAAGTTAAAAAAAAAAATCATAAGTTTCAAATTCAAAATTTAAACACTTTATTCATATTCTGAATTCGACTTTGATGTTGTGGCAGCTACCGTGGACGTGGATGTGGTAACTAAAACAAGATTGATAGGAGTATTTGCTTATCTCTAAAGACAAGTACATGTAAAGGGCAGCCACATGATACAAACACTTGCGCGTTCTTCTCCCAAATTTTACTACTCCATCTCATATTGGTTGTTTATTAGATATTTTTTCGAGAAATGAACAATTTGATTAATTTTTTTAATGTTAAGGATTTAATTGAAAATAATTACAAACTTTAATCTTGAATTTCTAAAATAATTGTTTATTTTTGCTAAAACAATGGTTAAAACGGATAGAGGGAATAACTTGTTACAAGTCAAATATTAGTCTTCTACTTTCTCATGTATTTTCAAATTTTTTTGTCTAAAACCTACAACCAACTAAGCTCATTATTAACTTTAAGTTTTATGCACATGATTAGATTATTATTTATAAGCTAATTATACGTAAGTTTGGACAATAATTAAACATTACTCCTATTAAAATGATAGCTTGATAAAGAAAATCATAATTGATAAGTTATCACAGGTTAAAATACATTACTAATATAAAAATAGTTGAACAATATCACTGTATATAACTAATTAAACCATTATTATACTGTTCCAGTCCTTATAATTACTTGAGTTTAAGCTCTCAGCATCATCCAAGGGCAAAGCTATTGGTTCTATATATCAGACTCATTTAGTTAAAAAATTACATTATATATATATAATCTTTACAATATTGTTTATATATATATAAAACTCCCTTCGAAAGCTTTTTGAATCAGTCATTCAAGTAGCCCTAAGCCCTATATAAAACTATTATACACAACCAAGTCATCTATGTAAAATAATTACAGCCAATTTGGGATAGGCAGAAACATTAACACTACTAAAAAACAAGAACTTAGGGAAGGATAATTTTGTAGATAAACAATAAAAAATTTATGTTAATTTTCATTTAGCTATTGATTGGTGATATATATATTTTTGGCAAAAATTCTATGTTAATGCAATTAGCTAAGATTTTTCAACAACGAATTAGTTGAGGATTACTGACAAATTTTGTAACTAATTCCATGTTTTGTTATAGTGCGACCTTCTGATTTTTTTTTAATTTTTCATCGTCCGACTAAATTCGAATTTGCGTAGGGAAGCATCAATTGATAGGGTGATATAATATATACTCCTATATATAAGGAAACTAATGTGGCATCAGTGTTTATGTATAGATAGCTGCCTCCATAATGCCAAAACTTGGAAGTTTCAACTCCAGCTCCCTCCTTCTATTTTCTCTTTTATGGACCATCTCTTTTTCTGCACACAATATTGGCGCTATCAACACAAAAAACTTTCATTTCAAAGAAGCCCCAAAATTCTACAATTCCCCAACTTGTCCTTCTCTTCATGACTACTACTACAACTCCTCCACCGACACAAATATTACACAAATTTGCTTTCAAAATGCAGTAAATGTAGCCATGACTCTTGATGCTGCTTATCTTCGAGGTTCAATGGCTGCAATTCTTTCTGTTCTTCAACATTCATCTTGCCCTGAAAATGTTATTTTTCACTTTGTCGCTTCGTCGTCTTCTGCTAACATTGATTATTTGAATCTCAAACTTGCTACTTCTTTTCCTTATCTACATTTCACAATTTATCCCTTCCGAGATTCACCTGTGGCTGGATTGATATCTACTTCGATTCGCGCTGCTTTGGATTGTCCTCTAAATTATGCTCGCAATTATCTACCTGATCTTCTTCCTCAATGTATCCAAAAGGTTCGTTTATACTCATTATTTCAGCTTCAAATTTGAAACAATTTGAATTTTGAAAAGCAATAAGAGGTTGCTAGCTGTAGAAATTCATGAACTTCAAATTCAAAATTCGTTTCTACCTTTATTAGTTATTTATCCTAATATATTCGTTATGCACATAGGTTGTGTACCTGGATTCAGATCTTGTTCTTGTAGATGACATTACGAAGCTAGCAGCAACACCGCTAGGTGAAGAAGCAGTTCTAGCAGCACCAGAATATTGCAATGCAAATTTCACAACCTATTTCACTCCTACTTTCTGGTCAAACCCTTCTCTTTCCTTGACTTTTGCGAATCGAAAGCCTTGTTATTTCAATACGGGAGTTATGGTAATTGATCTCGAAAGATGGAGAGATGGAGATTATACTACAAAGATTGTAGAATGGATGGAGCTTCAAAAAAGAATGAGAATTTATGAATTAGGTTCATTACCACCTTTTTTACTTGTTTTTGCTGGAAATATAGCTCCAGTTGATCATAAATGGAACCAACATGGACTTGGAGGTGATAATTTTCGAGGACTTTGTCGGGATTTGCACCCCGGTCCGGTGAGTTTACTGCATTGGAGCGGAAAAGGCAAACCGTGGGTCCGGCTCGATGCGAGCCGGCCTTGCCCGTTAGATGCCCTTTGGGCACCTTATGATCTGTTGCAAACCCCTTATGTTCTTGAATCTTAAGGTATTTTAATTTTTTGCTACCTATATTAAATTTAACTTATATATATCGATAATTTTTTAATTGGTATACTTGTATTTGTAGAAGTTGAAGCACAAGAGAGAGTAGAGATCTGTGTACTAGTTCATAAGGGGATCCTCCTCGATTGTGTTGTGTAACATGTACAGTAAGATTTTGTTTTCATGTCTAAGGTAACGGCTGTTTCTTGTATATTATTGGAGTATACACTTCGAACTTTTACTGTGCACTACTTATTAAGGGATTATTTTGCAGGATATATTAGAGAAAATAATGTATGTATTAGTGGTGATACTATTTTTTTTTATTTGGTAGTACTTTCAACCTATGTATAATCAGTACATGTATTAGTTATAAAAAGTGTATAATTAATACATACTAAATCATGATAATAGTAATACTAGAAGAGTTATTTATAGATATAAGTGTGATTAAAGACATATTTTTTCTTAATACGCTAAATCAACGTAACTAATACCCTAATCTTATACTCCTTCCGTCTCATTTTATATGTCATTCCTTTCTATAAATAGTTGGACCACAATACTTGTAATTTTATAAAATTTATGCATAAATTACCATATTTTGCCTATTATACCCTTGATAGAATAGTTAATTAATCTTGTCATTTATTAATAAAGTTGACTTAAGAAAACATTAAATAAGGGTAGAAGGGTAAAGTTTCATCATTTCTTAATGCAACTGCAAAGTAAAAATGTGACATATAAAATGGGACGGAAGGAGTAAGAATTTACCCTTTTTAGCTTTAGTTTCTATCAACATGAGTTAATCTGATGAGCACCTTTATTAATTAACTTGTAAACTCTCTTCTTTTTGTTCAAATAACGCGAACTTTTCTTTTCTATATACGCAGTGTAAAAAAAATTAAAATATCTAAAAGATTTATACACTTATGATCATAAAAATGAAATTAATAATCTGAAAAAAAGAAAAAGGAATAATTACCCTGACGTGGTTTCATATCATACGCATGAAATATAAAGGAAAAGATCAGGTGGGAAAGAAAAAAAGGGAAAGGAAAATTACTATAAAAGGAGGAAGTATCCCGATAGGGCGAAATATTTATCGGGATTTAAATTTTATGAATTTCAAATTCTAAAATAACGATATATATTCATTATTAATAACATTTGAGTGATGAATTTATACTATTATATATTTAATATAAATATATAATTTAAACTAAAATTATTAATTCAACTAATTCTAACTTGTCAAGTGTCGGTAGAGTTTCTTACAACATGGAGAAAACATGCAGCTTAGCAAAGACACGCATCTGCTCAGTGTTTAGTGTAGGAAGACAACAAAAGGAGACCAATCATGTGGCACTTGGGTCCTACTAATTAAATTAATTTACTCCCACTTTTTCTTAGCCTAAGATTACGTTAATTTGATCATGATACAATATATACATTTTTCTACTTAATTTTTAATGTAATAAAAGTGAATAATGATGAATGTATTATTTTATAACAATATGAATTGATTACGTAATTTGATACTATTGTTTAGTTATATATCATAAGAATTTATTGGCACAAATTTTTTTTATTTGTTATAACGATACTCCATAATTGAGGTAACTATTTTCAAAAAAGGAGAGAAACTAAAGTCCTCTATTCCCTTTATCTTTTGACTAAGAGTCGATCTGTTATTGTCAATTAATGGATCCATCATAAATGGAAGTGGGCATTGAAATAGACTCTATGCAATGCGAATATGAATTAGTAAATTAAAACATGTATGTTCTAAATATAAAATGATTAAAAAAGAGAAGCTAACAGTTGGAGGCTAGGCAAATGGTCCAATTTCTCTTATGCCGCATCTTCAAAAGACATTACTCACTTCATCTTTAGGTCTTTTTCTGTATGTCATATTTTTACATATTTATTAAAAAACTTATTCAATAATATAAATCATAACGGTCAACATGAGAGGGTTATTCGGATGATAAACATCCTTTATATACATTTAACCTGGATTCAAATAAACACCCTCCATACACATTTAACCTGGACCATCAAAACAATAAAACATCATTTGATTAAATTTTACCCAATAATCTATTTTTACTTTATCACCAATGACCAGGAAAGAAAGCAACATAAGTCTTTGGGCATTGCTTAGACTAAGTCACATTTGGGACGAGTATTAATAAGACTAGTCAAACGTTTTTAAAATATTGTAAGTAAATTACTTATGAAATAAGGACAACTTTTATGCCTTTAGTAAAAAGTGAAAAATTTAGAAATAATGGTAGTTTAAGGCCTAAATTATCAAATATAACGATAGTTTAGCTAATTATGATTTAAAGCTATTATTTGGAGTTGTATATATTCACTTTAATTTGCATCTGTTGTATCTGTTCACTTTATATATGTTGGATACATTATATTTATTTTCTCAATCTAGTTATATATATATATATATATATATATAAATCAATTACTCGGATAGGGTGTGTTGTATTAGCAAAAACGATTAGAGGGGGGGCTAGACCTGACCTCAATACAACACTAATCCGAAGGCTTACAAAAACTACTATAGAGCCTTCTGTAAATTTATGAAGAAGAAAGTAACTAGCTTACAAAGAAATTTGCTCTATCATATTTGCTCTGAATACTAGGCAATTGCCATTTGTCCAGTAGAAAGAGACCTTTAGCTTGTCTAGGGAGATTGGAATAGAGTTGAGTGATGAGCATCTGGTGAGAAGAAGAGGCCAGTTTTGCTAAACAATCTGCAACTTGGTTTCCCTCTTTGAAACAATGTTTAATTTGCATTTGCACCTTTTTTTGATGATGTTGATGGAGTCAATGACTTGTTTCAGCTTCATATTTGTAACTATATCGTTGGCAAGCATATTGACTATATTCATGGAGTCAAGTTCTAGAATAAAATTAGTGTACCCATGTTGATTACACCATTTTACACCAAACTCAACTGCCATGGCCTCAGCCATGTTGCTATTTTTGCACTCAACGGGGAAAGAGAATGCCATGATCAAGTCTCCATAACTATTCCTTATGATTCCCCCAATGCCTGCCCTTCCAGTCTCATGTGCATAGCTACCATCAGTATTGATTTTTATGATGTCGTTTTGAGGATAACTCCATGTTACTTGCTTCATTATCTGAACTGGTCTGGGCCTCTCAACTTCTAGGCAGAATGATGGCTAATGATTATTTCTATGGAAGTTTTGAAAAGTATTAGCCAAAACAGATTTTATAGTGTGAACGGTTTGATAGCACATTTTGTTTGTTTGGAGGTATTTTTTGCCTCCATATTTGCAAGAGCACCATTGCTTCCAAATCTCCCAACAAATAATTGTAGGGGTAATCTTCAAGATAGTCTTGTGAATGGCATTTTCTGGTTTTGTTTCCCACCAAGCACTGAAGATGTTGGTCATAGGCTGATTTTTATGTTGGATTCCGAGAGGGTTTCCCATCATGCTCCATAGTTGCCTTGCTGCTTCTCCCTCTCCAAACACGTGATACATAGTGTCATTACGTGCATTCCTATAACAAAAACAATCATTTTGTGAGTTGATATTGAGCCTAGTAATTATGTCATTAAAGGGCAATCTCCTTTTAAACATTCTCCAAGTTAAGAAAGATATTTTAAAAGGCATCTTATTATGCCAAATGCTGTTGAGAAAATTATTTTTTGGTCTTTGTTTTCTAACTATTTGCCATGCAGAGTAGTTAGTAAAAACACCATTTTCAGTATCATTCCAGATAGGATAATCCTTTTCCGTGTTATTGCCTATTACAATGCTAGAAATAATCTTCACAATGTAATTGGGAACAACACCGCTTAACTTAACAGTATTCCAAGACTTATTCACAAAAAAGGAATTAATCAGAAGTTTTGGAGACTTACCTAGGCCTTGACATAGCTTAGCCAAGGCTCCAATAGCTGTCTAATTGTCCCACCAAAAGCTGGAGTTTCCTTCTTGTACTTTCCAAATAATGTGACGTTCAACTTGTTCTTTGATTTGCATCAAACTTTTCCAAGTATGAGAGTCAACAGAAGTTGCCACTTTTTTAACAGGGTGAGCTATTTTGCAGTATTTTTTTATAAGAAACTTAGCCCAAGGAGATGGTTGAGTTCTAAACCTCCACCATCTCTTAATTATCAAGGAGTTACAAATGTCATTCATACTCCTAATGCCAATCCCCCCCCCCCCTCCCCCCCTTCATCTTTTGGAATACACAAGTTTTCCCACTTACTCCAGTGGTACTTATTCTTACCATCACTACTACCCCATAGAAAGTTAGCAAAGTGTTTCTCAATAAGATTGATGGTACCATTGGGAGGAGTAATAGCAGACAATGTGTAAATAGGCACAGATTGTAAAACATGCTTGATGAGAATAACCTTTCCCCATGAGATAACATATTACATTGCCAACCATTCAATCTTTTAACAATTTTTGCTAACATACCATCAAAATAGCTAAGATTTTTTTCCCATTATAGATAGGGCAACCCAAATAAGTGAAAGGGAAAGTGTTGTCCATGTAGCCAGTCACTCTTCTCAATATGTTGATCCTGTTATAAGCAGTTTTAGGAGCAGTAATAAAGAAACTCTTAGCATCATTAACCTGTTGACCTGAGGCTTTTTCATACCTCCTGATTTGATGCTTGATGAGCTTAATAGATTTATTATTGCCCCCGCTGAAAATCATTATGTCGTCCGCATAGGCAAGATGATTAATGACAGGTCCATTAAGATCCATGCTAAACAGAGTAAAATGCTCATGAGAATTAAGACTATTTAACATTCTAGACAATAAGTCAAAGCCAATTATAAAAAGTGAAGGGGATAGAGGGTCTCCCTTCTTAAGACCATGTGAGGAGCTGAAGAATCCTACTCTATTGCCATTGATAAGAATGGAACAATGATAATAATATCTTAAATTACTCAAACGACATATCATCAAATTGTCAGAATACAGATGATAACAATATATAATAGCATTCCAAAATAAAAAAATTGTTTGTCCTTAGAAGCACATCAAGACATTTCTCGAAGATAGTTGAAATCTTTCCTATGAACAAATAAAAGAATAAATGAGTTTACCCTCTCTCCAGTGAGTGCAGTGAAGGACTCTCGCCTCACCCCCCCCCCCCCCCCGTTTGACTTATGGCATCATCGACTTGCTTTTCAATCAAAGTGATTTCATAACCATAAAG